CATATCACTTCGCATAGTTTACTGTAATAACGGAAATTAGCATACAGTACCTATACAGCACACAGGAATTACTGCAATCACACGTGCTCGCACACGCACACTACGGTCACGCAGTTTGCACAAAAAGGTGTTGTCAGCGCTGCCCTGATGATTTTATCAGTTAGCCTATATAGTGTAGCAACTTAAAGGCTACACATGACATTTCTCACTAGCGAGGTAATAACAGCGCTGTTTAGAGACGCTGCTGCAGAACACTGTTGAGGGACGCACAGAGGTAGCCTAATTCACACAAACTCTCTCTTTCTTTCTCTTTCTCTGTGTGTCTCTGTCTCTCTCGCTCTCTTTCTAATAACTTCATTAATAACTGCATTAGAATGCTATCAACGGCTCAAGCCTCCATTACCAGCTTTAAAGCTACACGGAGTCACAGCACACATTTATAATGTTTTTGTGCCTTTCATGGGGCTTAATAATAATAACACAATAGTATACGCACAATATCAGATTTGGATCGGTCTCGTCTGACCGATACCCGATCCGGCAGAAAATGCCAGTATCGGAGCCGATACCAATACTGAGTATCGGATCGATGCATCCCTAATCATCACACTAAGTCAATTATCACATTTTGCTTAATCATGCAGCCAATAACAGCTGTATCAGTCAATAACTAGTTAACTATTCCTCGTATATACCCATAACCATAAAAATGTCATAAATGTAGTTCATATTACTTCAGAAGATTTTGAATGCATTATAGGAACTATTTTTATGACACTTTTATGGTGCTTCTTAGAGCTTTATAGTAAAAATGCACTTTCGTCATACAGTTTGGAAGCAACACTAGGGTTTATAACTACTTCTCTTCCATCCCATTTCATTTCTAAGACTGAACCCTCATTTGTGCTCACTTGCAGTGTACCTGGAAATCAGATGTAATTGAAACAGTCTCAGGTGGGAAAGACCACCAAAATAAATCTACTGAGAGTCTGATAAATAACGCAGAGAAAGAGGAAATTTACTTCTGTTTTGTTCTTCTTGAGGAATGAAATCAGGAACTGGGAACTTTCAGAGGAGCAGAGGCGGATTTTTAAAAGCTGAAGTGTATATTTTCTGCTCATCAACACACGCAACTGCCAAAATAATGACTGATTTTCTCCAAAACATTCTCCATATCTGTGATTGGTTAGTCAAACAGATTTATCCCGCCCCCAAACTCACCCCATTGGCTGAGTCGATGTTGCAATACTCAATGTTTTTGAAAGCATCAGAGTCAGAGTTTTTCATTCAAGAAGCCAAACTATCCGTGACTTACTTATAGTGAACATTAAGAAATAAGGTTTTACTTTTAAAAATAAAAAAGGAATTACACATTTCAGCTCACAGCTGGATTCTCATGCACAGTCAGGAAATACAACATACTACATATGCTGATTGATTCGTGATCTGAGACTAAAGCTGAATATCTCGGCAGCATCAGGTGTCTTGATTAAAGCTTTAAATCGCACATCTTCTGTGAAAGAGATCCATGTCTGCGGCAGCAGACGGTCTCACACTCTCCGTGTGTGCGTTACTGACGTAACCAGGCTAAAATTAAACCGCTGAGACAATGACGAGCGCATAAGGCAGCAGAACGCTGGCTAGACAAAGACAACAATACCGCAGGGTTAGGTCTGCAATTTCCTGATCATGTATGAGGAAGTGTAAAGAGAGCTGATCTGAGGACACGACTGGCATCTGCTCAAAAACACAAACCAGCTGATGAGGATGCAAAACTACTGCTTTCTATCTTTGCAATTTATCTTAAATGACAAATAAATAAATTTTAATAAAAAAGTAATAATTTACACATTTACACATATTTTACATTTAATATACAGTGGTGGCCAAAATGATTAGAACACTAGTATTTTCAGCAGCTAAAAATGGTTTTAAGTCAGTTATTTCCATCTTTTGCTGTAGTCAGTAGGAAATATCAGTTTACATTTCCAAATATTCATTTTGCCATTAATTGTAATAATCCAGTGAGATTTTTTTTTGCACAAGGAGTCTGAAAACAGCCAGTGCTACACACAGAGATCTGATCTCATCTTCATCCAGAACAAACTGAGACAGACTAAATCCAGAAGAACTGTGGCAACGTCTCCAAGACGCTTCAAGAGACCTATATATGAATAATAAATTATATATAAACAATGAATTAACTTGAGCTGAATAGCAACACTTTTGCCTTTTATAGAGCTGCTTATAGCTGAACTGAACACAAATTAAAAAAGCATTAATTTTTCATAATGTTTAGTGAAATTATTTGGTGGTCTGAGGTGGAATGGGGATTTGGGAAAGGGGGTCAGGTTTTTTTTTTTATAGGTTTAAAGGGGGGCGCGACCAAAAAAGTTTGAGAACCACTGGTCTAAAGTGAACAGACAGTGTCCAAATATTCATTTTGCCATTAATTGTAATAATCCAGTGACACTGACTTTTGACTTTTTAAATCCAGAAGAACTGTGACGTCTCCAAGATGCTTCAAGAAACCTACCTGCAAAGTTTTAGGCACTTGTGTAAAAATGCTGTAAAATTAGGATGCTGTCAAAAATAATGTCATAAATAGATTTTCTTTATCAATTAAATTCTATTAACTAAATTAAATCAACATTTGCATTTAAGTCCTTAGCCTTAAGGCTCGTTCACACCGGGACGAATCTCACGTGCGATTATTGCTGACGTTTAAAGCCTCGTGACTAAACAAAGGGCACCAATGTGAGTGTGCACACCGACACGCACAACGCGAGGCGTAAAAGCGTAATTTTTGGTTTGACGCGCCGTGATAAAAACTGGCCGACAAATGAGATTGTTCACGTGCCTGGAGCTTCTGAAGTTACAGTAAAACACGACTTGGTGGCGCTCAAGCACAAAACGGTCTTGCCGAGCACACATTGATGTCTAACAATCCCATGATGACCAAGAAGATGCATCGAGGCAAGATGACTGTAGAGCTGCTGGTCTCATTGGTGTCTGAACACAAAGGGCTTTATGACAAACACGACAGCGACTACAAAAATCTCGATAAGAGGGAGTTGTTATGGAGAGGTTTTTCATTAAGCGCCATCTAATGTCAGGGAGTGAATTTGCGCGTTCACTCGGCTCATCGCCAGCGAAAATCGCTTGGGTATATGAACACAAAAGACGCATCGAAAAACATCGGCGATAAGCGCTCGATAATCGTCCCGGTGTGTACGAGGCTTTACACTGGAGGTGGTTCACTTTCTGGCAATGAAACGAAGTAAATAAATAATTAAATAAATTAGCACGATAATATAGTATTGGCGATCTCACAGGCTGACGATATGAAAATTGAGCATATCGCCCAACACTATTCCTCATGCAAGAAATTCAAGTCCATTCTTGCCATCTTTACATTTCTGAAAAAAGTTTAATGAATGTATTTAATTAGACACCCTTTTGATAATAAAACTGAATTAATTAAACCATGCATTCAGAAGAATTAAAAGTGAAAACACAAAATTTGGGGAAAGAAATGGAATAAAAAATAAAATGGATTTTTATATGGCCCCAATAAAGTGAATACACAGCTGCTGGTGACAGTACGCATGTTACATTTTGACAAAAAAACAAATGACAATTTGCCGTGAGGAAGGTGTTTTCATAACACAAACACACATGTGCAGGTTTTCTGAAAGGGTTTAATCTGGATTGTGCTCTATAATCCCTCTGGAAACTGGATTTTAGCACAGAAACAGCCTCTTGGAGCTCGTCTGCAATACCGTGTGATCGAATGGTTAATTCTGAGTTTAGAGACATTATCCACTTTCATGTGCAGAGAAAAAAAAAAAAAACTTGAAGTGTGAATTTCAGACACATAGAAAGACGAGGATGCATTGGCGGCACGTCTGAAGGTTAGTCCTTTTGATGGATAGGCGGAATTTGAGCGAGGGTCCCGAGGAGACATTTATAATTCATAAAGCTGTCAGCGCTGCCCAGCAGATGGTATAAAAAATACCAGTATAAAAAAGGTCAGCGCTGTCCTACTATAAATGATCGTAAGCATGCGACAATTTGACAAGGTGACAACGTCAGCTCATAGGGTCAGATAAAGGCAAGGAAGGTGTTAGACTGACACACACACACACACACACACACGTAAAGGTTTCACACACTCAGATCAACACAGAACATCTAGTGAACTTTTACACAGTGTCCTAACTATACACAATATGACAAAGCAGAAAAAAAATCTACATTATAGTACCATTCAAAATTTTAGTTGGTGAGATTTTTTAAAATGTTTTTGAAGACTCTTCTGCTCACCAAGGCTGCATTTATTTGATTAAAAATACTGTAAAAATTTTGAAATATTATTGCAATTTCAAACAGCTGTTTTCTATGTGAATATCTGTTAAAATGTAATTTATTCCTGTGATCAAAGCTGAATTTTCAGCATCATTACTCCAGTCTTCAGTGTCACATGATCTTCAGAAATCATTCTAATATGCTGATTTGCTGCTTAAGAAACATTTCTGATTATTATCAATGTTGAAAACGGTTGTGCTGCCCAATAGTTTTGTGGAAACTGTGATACATTTAATTTTTCATGATTCTTTGATGAACAGAAATTTCAAAAGAACAGATATTTATTTGCAATAGAAATCTTTTGTAACATTATAAATGTCTTTAAATGTCACTATATGCTATATTTTATGCTATATTGCCACTAACCTGGTAAGAATAAATACTAGCACCTGGTGCAATTAATTGAAATCTAATCGCAATTGCGATTTCAGACGTTGCGATTTGCTAATCGCAAAGCCTGCGATGTGGATGCGATATTACTCTGTTCCAGAGCATATGCATGACTGCCAGCCTTGAGTGGCAGCCTTACTAACCAATAGAGTGAGAGCATCTCTATTCTCCCCAATCAGCACTGCTCTAGCCAACTGCGTAAACGCCCACCGTTTAAAAAAAATTAAACAAAAACAAAGTCGGAGAGAGAGAGAGTGTGTGATTATGGCGTCTACAGGGTCAGATCGACAGTTAGGCAAATTAATACTAAAGAAAAACTTGTTATATGAGATTACTTCGGCTTGGAAATGACAGACACCAAACTAAAAGGGTAACGTTAATTTGCAAGAGCTGTGCCACAACACATATCAAGAGCTCCCTTATCGGTTCTGCTTTCAGTACTGGAGAATAAAATATACATTCTTAGATGTTTTTATTAGTACATGAACGTTATCTTGCACATTTTATCTCCCCAACAGATTCTAATTTGAAATAAGTTTATAATGCATGTTGGCTATTCCCAATTCAGAAGACCGCACACACAGCCTGTGTCTGTAAATGCTTCTCATACTCGCTCCTCTCTGCCGCGTCTCACGGAGGAGCCGTTTACACTTGCCGCACACACGCAGCCTGTTTCGTAATGTTCGTTTATACTCGCGCCCAGCAAGCCTCTACGAGCGCATCTGGCAATATGGACGAGGATTGATGCACGCACACAACCTGTGTCAACTCGCGCCGGCTCCACGTTTAAAACAAATGTAAATTCAGTCTAACTGCTTGCTAATTTCACTTGGATGAAATGAAACATTCAGCACATTTTCCACTTGTTCTTAAAATCCCAAATACCTAAAAATGAATAAATCAACCTAATACTTTAATAATTGACTGTAATACAGTTCTTTATTTACACAAAATAAACTAATCTTTCCTGTGAAATTCAGTAACTAAGTAAATTCTGTAAAAGTAATAATACCATTATAATATTCCCTGCTGAAAAAAAACAATAGAACCCCTCCCAACACACAATAGAAAACTTAATGGATTTAAGGGTTATAATGGGAATTATATTGGTTTTAATGTAAACTATAATGGTTTCTACTGGTATTTGATGTATTCTATTGGTGGGATGTAATCTGGCAGATGG